ACAGTCGATGTAATTCTTAGGTTTCCAGGTGGTTTCCATCCGCCAATTTCTATACCTACCGGATTCGAAGGTGAAGGCCATCCAAAAGGAGCTGCGAAGGGCTCTTCGTGTACCGGACCTGTCCGTCAGACAGTTGGCGCGTATTATCGGCCTCCTTGCGGCCTCCATTCAGGCGATATTCCCGGGCCCACTGCATTACCGTGCCCTCCAAAGGCTCAAAGGTTCGCACCTCCGGTCGGGTCATTCCTACGAATCTTGGGTACGACTGGACGAGGAATCCAGGGACGAACTGGTATGGTGGTTGGCACACATGGAAGCCTGGAACGGGAGGGCCATCTTCGGTTCCGTCCCGGACGTGGTGATAGAGTCAGATGCCAGCTTACACGGCTGGGGTGCTCGCTGTGGCAACGTTTCCACAGGAGGCAGATGGTCCGAGATAGAGAGATCCCTGCACATCAACTGTCTGGAACTTTTAGCAGGGGCATTCGCGATTCGCAGCCTTACCCCAGGACGGGCAAACTGCTGCGTTCTCCTCAAGATGGACAACGTGTCGGCAGCTATATAAACCACCTCAGGGGCACCAAGTCCAGGATGTTAGCCCTGTTGGCGAAAGATTTTTGGCAATTTTTCCTTTACAACAATGTCTCCGTGACAGCGGAACACATTCCGGAACTGGACAATTCGGACGCGGATTGGAATTCCAGACATTTGAGAGATTCGGGAGACTGGCACTTGCACGTTTCGGTATTCCAAGGCCTAGACAGACTATGGGGACGGTTCAGGATGGATCTGTTTGCGTCCCGTCTGAACACTCAACTACCGGAGTTTTACAGTTGGAGGCCGGACCCGGCGGCAGTGGCGATGGACGCCTTTCTCCAGGAATGGCCACCGGGCTGCCTTTATGCATTTCCCCCATTCCACATGATCGCCCGAACGATCTCGAAGTTGGTTCGTCACGATTGTTGCCTGACATTGATCACTCCTCTGTGGAGATCCCGACCATGGTTCCCACGTCTGTTGGAGTTGTCGATAGACTACCCCCGGTTGATTCCGAGCTTCCAGGATCTCCTTCTGGATCCGGACGGGAACTCTCACGGTCTGGTGCTACAACAGCAATTGCCTCTAGTAGCGTGGCTCCTTTCAGGGGAACCTGGGCTGTCCCGAATGTTCCGCGATCAACTCTCCTGCTCCACTATAACGCCTGGGCTTCCGGTACGAGATCAGCTTACCGTGCTTCATGGAATTCCTGGTCTAATTGGTGCATGGAACGGGCAATGGATCCCGTATCTGCCCCTCTCCATCTGATCCTGGAGTTCCTCATGGCACTGTTTGATGCGGGCAAGGCGTACTGCACTATCAACCTTTCCCGTTCGGCCGGACATAGTGGTTTAGATGGTTCGCCAGTCGGCAGACATCCTTTTGTGTGTCGTCTTCTCAAGGGTATCCGCCTCGCTCGCCCTCCTAGATCTCGTTTCTCTGTCTTCTGGGACGTCAATGTCATGTTACAGTTCCTCTTGTCATGATATCCTAACCATGGACTGAATCTCAAGCAATTGTCCTCCAAACTAGTGATGCTACTCTGTTTGGTTTTGTGTAAGAGGGTGTCTGATGTTAGGGCCCTTGATTGGGACGCCATTGTTTTCAGCCCGGAAGGTGTTGCTTTCAACATATCCAGAAGGACTAAATCGGCATCCAAGTTGTTTGTATATCCTAGGTTCCCGGAATGTCCGGCATTATGTCCAGTACAATGTCTGAAGGCTTATCTGGACGCTACACAATCTCTTCGCTCCTTGGATCTACATCCTTTATTCGTGTCTTTTAAAGCGCCTCACCGGCCTGTTTCGACTCTGACTCTGACACGTTGGGTACGCTGGCTTTTATCTTCAGCGGGTATAGACACTTCTGTCTTTACGCCTCACTCTGCTCGGGGTGCTATGGCTTCGAAGGCATCCGCAGTCGGCTGTCGGCTGGAGGACAGCATGCGTGCAGCGGACTGGTCTAGAGAATCGACCTTCCGCGACTTCTATTTCAGACCTATTGAACATATCGCATCTCAGGTGATGGCAGAGCTTTAAACTTGCATAATATGAGCCTCCGTGTCTTTAATAAAATTCCCAGATTTTACTATTAACATGACGTAAAGTCATGATTTTATTAAAGACACGGAGGCGAGTATTATTCCCTCCCACCCTCCCGATGTGGGTATAGGGATGAGATGCTATTGGACTCTTCAGGTACGTTTCATTTCGGTCTGTTTTTGATGAGATTTGTGTATGTTATTTACATATTATATTAATGATATATTTTATGTCTTTCAGATTCCAGTTTCTATCATTGAACTACCAACAGTTTGTTTTGATTCCAGTTTTTTCTATCATTGAATAACCAACAGTTTGTTTTGGTAAGTCTACAGTTTGGAGTTTGGATATTACCATATTTCTCTCTCTCTTTTAGCTTGACGTTATCGGTTTGTTGCCATTTCCTGTTCTGGACAAGTTGGATTTCGTTCTTCTTACCTGGTCTTCGGTTTTCGCAAGAAAGAGGGGGATTGTGGGAGACACAGGCCTTATATAGTCACTTCCTCTGTTATGCGATTGGTTGCCTGTGTATCTATACAGTTTTTTCTTTCATTTTGACAATATTTATATTCCTCTATCTTTGCTGCTGAGGAAATAAAGAAAGAGTTATGCATAATACTCGCCTCCGTGTCTTTAATAAAATCATGACTTTACGTCATGTTAATAGTAAAATCTGGGAATTTCTTTCATGTTTGGGGCTATCAGAGTCTGTTAAATTAAATGTGTCTTTTAATTGCATGAATGGGGTAAATTTGTTTGACGTAAAAAAATCAATATGAAAAATAGAATGTGAAGTCCAATAGTCCTTGTTTAAGTCTGGGATGACTTTAGGGCTTAAAGAACGAGATGAGGTATTGGTGCAGGTCGGCTTGAGAGTTGTTTCAGGGATAGTGTGGATTCTAATGTTGTTGCGTCATGACCTGTCTTCAGCATTCACGACTTTTTACATGATTTTTCATATTCTGATTTTGGGAATTGGATTATTTTCACCACCTTGTTGTGAGTGGTACATAGTTCATCCACAGTACTCTACACTTCATCGGTCCTTTCATCCAGAGTTTGTATGTTACGAGGAAGGTCCATGTTTCTTTTTCTCAGAGTCCAGAAAAGTCTCTGAGAGTTGTGCCAGAGCAGCTGGTTCAGATTTTGTGTCCAAGGGGGTTGATGCCACTTTGTGGTGTCTGCCATTATGGCCTATGCAGTGCCTTTATTTCCGCAGCTGTTTAAATGTTTAAGACATATTGGTTACATGGGTTTGCCTGAGGGGGGCATGCGAGTGGGGGAGATACAAAAGGGATGCTATTTTGGGCAATAAGAGCAGCAAAATGTTGCTGCATCCTAGATGTCTGGAAGTGCACCACGTATGCTCTCCATGCAGGTCAGGACATGCCCTTCATGTTCTCATGATTTTTATGATATCAATTTATATTTCCTTTAATCTGAATACTGTTTTTGCATTAAGTGCATTGTGTGAGAGTAGTTAAGATTGAAGGGCTGAAACGTTGATCCTTTTTAATATGATTAAAAAAAAACTGATTTTATGGAAGACTATGAGTGCAACTAACTTTATATTCTTTATATATATATTGTAACAAACCACCTCTTTTACAGGTAGGATTTTGTCACAGATTTTACAGTAATAGATACCAGAAAGTTGGAGTGCGCTAGCAACTGCACTGGAGTCAGGATCTTCTCTGAGTACTCTGAAAAAATATACAGTATATAGTGCAGACTATCTGTATATACAGGGTATGCAAAATTAAAAGTATATCTGGGGATCAACTCACATGGACCAGAGCCCTATCACCCCTGGCTCTGGGTTTGAATTGCTCCAATGGAGAGGGATAAACCCACAGTATAGCAAAACAGGATACTCTTCTGAATCAGATGTAATATCTAGGCAGTATAAACAAATAGAGAGGCAGGAGCCCAAATTGAATAGTATCAAACACAGTATTTATTTAAACAAAAGGTTAAAAACTCTTACTTGAAGTAATAAACCCACAACTAGATAAGCAGGAATTTACAGAAAATGATACAGCTTAGACACTTCCTGGTTCCGGTCACGTGACTGCTGGGACCGCCTCTCTCTGATGTCACAATTTGGGCTCCTGCCTCTCTATTTGTTTATCCTGCCTAGATATTACATCTGATTCAGAAGAGTATCCTGTTTTGCTACACTGTGGGTTTATCCCTCTCCATTGGAGCAATTCAAACCCAGAGCCAGGGGTGATAGGGCTCTGGTCCATGTGAGTTGATCCCCAGATATACTTTTAATTTTGCATACCCTGTATATACAGATAGTCTGCACTATATACTGTATATTTTTTCAGAGTACTCAGAGAAGATCCTGACTCCAGTGCAGTTGCTAGCGCACTCCAACTTTCTGGTATCTATTGCTAATTTGTGTCACTGTGTGTCACTTGGGGGTAGTGCAGCAGCACTGCAGATATTCTTAAGCGCTTTGATTCCATCTGGTTTTTCACTTTAAGATCTTACAGTAAGCCTTCTAGGGTAATCAAAGTCCATGACACATCCAGTTCGGTTTTCCTTTTTATTTGATAAGAAAACAGGCTTAAAATAATAATAAACAAAACAAAATTCCTTGCTCTTACTTAAGCGCTTACTAGACAGAAATAACTATCTGTAATTAGGTGGCTTTCCCACTTACCAATTTTCAAAAAAACAAAATAGATTTGCCATAAACACACTTGTTGTCTCTCCTTCAGCCCTCCTAGCTGGCTTTTTCTCCCTCACTCAGCAGCAGGCTGATCTCTTCTTTTAAAGGCCTGCCTTCTAATTGACCAGCTACAGGTGAGTGTTAATTGGTTAACAACTCTTAAGTGAAATCCAAGTTCTCGTCTGTTACAGAGCAACTAGTGCTGTTGGAGCACTGGCCCACCCTGCTCTCCAAATGCTCAGCTCCAGGGAACCATACTGTGTTTTGCATAGTATCAGCAATGTATTTTGCAAACTTAACTGAAAATTCTCTGGCTGCTGTTTAGCAGAGCAGGCCTGATATATCTTCCTTCAACAACCATTCCACATTTTCGTTCACAATATATATAAGTGCTGTGCATGGAAACCAGACTGAAGTAGACCGAGTAGAGAATTGGACTCAAGAACATCTGTCAATCTCACATACACAAGTCTTTCTCCTCCTCTTCATTTCCTCATTCTTCCTCAGTATCAAAATCTCTCCTTACACCCACTTTCATCATCCTCCCAACAACCTTTACATTTCCCCCTCTCTGCTACACTCCCCCCTTCTCTCAACTCGTGTATACAAACAGAATAGGGCTAATCTGCTAAATACAGATTAATAAAATAACATAGCGTTTAACTGTATGAGAGTAAGCAACAATACGTTAGTTACAATTGGCCACTCACAAATTCCCAGATGTAAAACAGCCTTAAGTAAAATCTCTCCTCCAATATCCACTGCATTTTCTCATCTTCACACTCCCATCAGTAGGTTGGAATATGTAACTCAAGAGAAAAATATACAGAAAAAAATGTAGTGCGCTTCCAGAGTACAATAAAAAGGAATTTAATAACTTACATATAAGCATAAAACAATTCGTTTGTCACCACTAGGCATCCTATAAATCTCAACTCATGCCCTGCGCAGATACTGAATACAGCCTCCTAAAGAGGCAAATGATAAAAAAATATGGCTAATCCAATCTACAGTACTATATATATATATACCTAACATAATAAAATATACACTGAACAAAATTATAAACACAACACTTTTGTTTTTTCCCCCATTTTTCATGAGCTGAACTCGAAGATCTAAGACTTTTTTCTATGTACACAAAAGGCCTATTTCTCTCAAATATTGTTCACAAATCTGTCTAAATCTGTGTTAGTGAGCACTTCTCCTTTGCCGAGATAATCCATCCACCTCACAGGTGTGGCATATCAAGATGCTGTTTAGACAGCATGATTATTGCACAGGTGTGCCTTTTGTGTACATAGAAAAGGTCTTAGATCTTTGTGTTCAGCTCATGAAAAATGGGGGCAAAAACAAAAGTTTTTAGACCATAACCATTTTACATCCTCTATTACTAAAAATAATTTTAATGTATTATCGTTTATATCATGCGAATCAAAAAACGTTATTTACTTACTAGAATGTACATGCAGGTACCAATATATAGGAAAAACATCAAGGCCTCTTAAAACCCGCATAAGGGAACATGTAAGAAACATAAAAAAAGGTTTTATCAACCATAGCCTGTCCAAACATTTTTTTTATAAGCTCAAAGTTCTAATCCTAAAGAAATGCAGTTTATGGCCATACACAAAGTAGTGAGCAATTGGAGAGGTGTTAATGATACTCTCAATCTCAGCAAGAGAGAGAGCAATTGGAGTTTTGAATTGCAAACTTTAAATATAGACTTTGACATCAGTCCAATTCTTTGAGTTAGGTAATTAGTTTTCTCCCTCATACTTCTCTGTTTTTTTTATACAATTTTTTTTATATACCTTATATTTTTTATTTTATTCATTTTATGGGTATATGCACCTTTAAAATGCATCCTATACATTTTTAATTTTCTATTGATGCATTGTATTTTTTATGGGTATATTCACCTTTAAATAATTGCACATTAAGAATATTAATGATATGGTTGTTAATACCTCTGTTTTATTATTATTTTTGTCTCTGTATTTATATATTGAATATGATTCATATACTGTAGCCCCATGTAGCCAAAGCACAGCTAAGCGAAAAAGGGCCTTGACAGGGGTTAGGAGGCGGGCATAGGAGGAGGGAAGGAAGTATGGAGTTATGGGTAAGTAGGCTGGGCTATTTAAATAGGCAGCCATTTTAAGTGAGCTCACTTCTAATTTCCTACCTGACCAAGTTTGTGGGCACTTCTGTGTGTGCAGATTGGGTTAGGTAGGGTCTTTTTTCCTTCTTGTCGTTTCTGCAGGGCCATGGACGAGGTGGAGAGGCTGCAGAAAGGGGATCCGGTCAGCGGCGCGAGGTCATGGAGCGGATTGGTTGCGGGCCCAACTCGGACCGGCCCTGGCGGGAATGGCGGCCTAGGAGGGCGAACAGGATCGTCTGGTGCGGGCCAGGAGGCCGCCGCGGAGGCTGAGCCCGGGTGTGGGGCCCGGTGAAGCTGGAGCCAGCGGGCGCATGGCGGCGGGAGGAGGCCGCAGCAGGCCCGGTAGCAGCGCGGTCGAGGCCCCGCCTCCCAGCATGCTACCGGGGCCTTGGGGACATGCTGCGCGGCGGGCGGCTGCAGAAGACGGGGCCGGCAGGCCCCAGGACAGACAGGCAAGTGCAGGGGGCCCCGCCAGGGGCTCTCTTGGCGTGCTGGGTGCTGGGAAGGAGTTGCCTGGGGGTAGTGGAGACGGGGGGATGGGGGGTAATAGGCCAGCCACTCTAGGGTTACAAGGGGAAAGGAGAGGGGTCGTTGGAGGTGCCCAGGGTAGTTCAGTGGTGCTGAAGAAGGGGCGGGTAGTGAGGGGGAAAAGGTCAGGGGCGCCTCTGGGATTAGGGGTGGGCCTGGGAGATTAGACAGGGGGTCCCCCTCTGGGATTAGGGGTGGGCCTGGGCCTGTGGGGCAGTCGAGGCCCCTGGGAGCAGGGGGGTTAGTTGATCAGGCAGTGGCTAGGCTGGATGAAGGGGGTGTTGGAGGCCGTGGAGCCCGTCCAGGTGGGGGTGGGGGGTTGGCCCGGGTGGACAGGCAGGTGTTGGGGCGCAGTGGCAGGAGGGGGGGGGTCTAGCTCGGGGTCTAGCAGCATTAGCCCATCCCCAGTTAGGGATCAGGGGGCTGGGGCAGCTAGGGGTAGGTCAAGGCAGGACAGTTCCACCTCTGAGGGGTCGGACAGGAGCAGGGTCAGGGCCCCCAGGCGGGGGCGGACCGAACGCTGGGGGGGAAGGAGTCGTAGCCCGCGGGGCCATCCAGGCCTCTGGAGCACGGACTACGGGCACCACGCGGCGGGAGGCTTTGGTGAAGAGCAGGCGCTCCCCGGGTCGGGGTGGGAGGGTGACAGGGGATCGTTACACCCTACCCAGGACATCTTCTCCTCGTTACAGATCTCGGAGCCGGTCATCTTCTGTGTTAGCTGGGGGGGGCTTGGCTCCCCGTTCGGCAGGGCGTTAACGGAGGTCGCTCCTCCCGGACGGATTACAGTGGACAATGCAGCCCCCAGCGCTCGGAGACCGGGGGGCTTGGCCGGTGAGTCCTGTGCATCGTTGCAATCCAGTACATTGATTCACACACTACAAACACTTCTCCACTCGCTGGGAGCGGGGGGTGACACGGGGGGCGGTGTAGGTCAGGTGTGGGCACAGGGACAGGGGCCACGGGTGTTATCTCCGCAGAACCGAGTTCGAGCGGGGATTCGGGAGCGGCTGGCAGCAGGGCGGACGCAGCGAGTGAGCGGGCGGAGTTGGCTGGTGGGGGGGTCCCTGATGCGGCCAGACAGCATGCATACGTGTCGTTTGCTGGTCCGCTCGGGGTGCACCTCAAACAGGAGGTGAAAGACAAGATCTGGAAGGGCGAATTCTGTGAAATCTTTTCCCTTTTCCCTTAGAGGAGTTTATAGACCTCAAGGAGGAAGATAAGAAAGATGAGAAAAAAGAGGAGGAGAAGAAAAAGAAGCGGTATCGTAAGATATCGAAATCTTTTGGCAACTGGCTGAGGGCGTTCTGCGTCCTGGCCAGTGTCCTAGGTGAGAAATCGCCGGGATTGTGCTCCTCCCTGTTTTGCTATTTAGACGGAATTTGGGAGGCATACCGCACTTACGGCGGGCTGGCGTGGTGGCGGTATGATGAGCAGTTCCGGCAGCGCTTGGCGGCCAATCCGGGTATGAGATGGGACCAAATGGACCTGCCCCTCTGGATGAAATTGATGATGGCGCAGAAGGCGCAGCCCTTTCAGCACACGGCCGGCGCAAAGGGGCAGTCCGCCTCGTCGGCCGCCTTGCAAAAGGGCTTATGCTGGCTCTTCAACGAAGGCCAGTGCAAATGGGGGAACGCCTGTAGTTTTAAGCACGAGTGCTCCAGCTGCGGGGGCACACACGGGCTTAACCGATGCTTCAAAAAGGGGAAGTCAGGAAATACCGGAGTCGCTGCTACGGTTGGGGGGGAGGAGGGGTCTCCTCTGCCCCGGGGCTTAACCCCAGTGAGGCTAGACGCGATGGAGCCATGGCTAAGCCGCTACGGTAACAGGGCAGATGCCGAGTTGCTACGGGCGGGCTTTGGGCAAGTTTTTTTTTATCCCGTTCCGGGACAGGGGGGGATCTGGGGTACGGCGCAACCTTGAGTCAGTGGCGGAGTTCCCGGGGGTGGTGCGGGAGAAATTAGAAAAGGAAGTCTTATTGGGTAGGATGGCGGGCCCGTTCTCGGCACCGCCGTTGGAAGGCCTTAGGATTTCCCCACTCGGAGTGGTACCCAAGAAAGAGCCGGGGAAGTTCAGGCTCATTCACCACCTCTCCTACCCCAAGGGAGCGTCGGTGAATGATGATATCGACAAAGAGTTGTGCTCGGTCTCAAATGCATCATTCGACCGGGCGGTCGAGCTGGTTAAGAAGGCCGGGCGCGGGGCGCTGATGGCAAAGGTGGACATTGAGGCAGCATTTCGGCTGCTTCCGGTCCACCCGGCATGTCACCACCTGCTGGGGTGTTTCTTTGAAGGGGCATACTTTGTGGATTTGTGCCTCCCCATGGGCTGTTCCATCTCGTGCTCATACTTTGAGAAGTTCAGCACTTTTCTCGAATGGGTGGTACGGGCGGAGGCAGGGAATGGATCGGTGGTGCACTATTTGGACGACTTCTTCTGCGTGGGGCCGCAAGCACTCCTGCTTGCCAGCGTTTGCTTCGGACTATTGAGTGGGTCGCGGGGTGCTTCGGGGTCCCGCTGGAAGCAGATAAAACGGAAGGCCCGGCAGTGTGCCTTAGTTTCCTGGGGCTGGAGATTGACTCGGTACGGGGCGAATGTCGGCTGCCGCTGGCAAAGCTGCAAGGGCTAAAAGGGTCGGTGGCTGCAGTAGCGCAGGCGAGGAAAGTCACCCTGCGGCAGCTGCAGTCGTTGATCAGGATGCTGAATTTTTAGCCGCAGCCTGTCGGCAGCTACGGCGGGGGTGCGATCCCCACGCCATTTCATCCGGGTATCGTCCGCCATGAGGGCCGACCTTGCCGTGTGGGATACCTTCTTGCGGGACTTTAATGGGACAGTGTTTTTTCGGCGGGAAGGGGTGTCGGTGACAGAACTGGAGCTGTTCACTGACGCGTCAGGTAGTGTGGGCTTCGGGGCATACTTTGGTGGGAAATGGTGCGCGGAGAGGTGGCCGCTGGCGTGGGGGCCGAGCGCCCTTATGCGGAACCTGGCCTTCTTGGATTTTTTCCCGCTGGTGGTTGCGATGGCTCTATGGGGGGAAGGGCTGCGGGACAGGAAGGTGGTCTTTTTCTCTGACAATATGGCGGTAGTGCACGCAGTGAATAATCAGTCGGCGGCGTCGAAACCGGTGGTCCGGTTGCTGCGGCACTTAGTCCTAATGTGCATGTCCCGCAATGTTGTCTTTCGCGCGCGCCATGTGCCCGGGTACTTGAACGAAGTGGCTGACGCTCTCTCTCGTTTTCAGTGGTCCCGATTCTGGACGGTGGCACCGGAGGCGCAGGAAACGGGCCAGGCATGCCCGGACGAAATTTGGCGGCTGGGAGCGTCCTGCTTGGGGTGTCCCTGTTTCGGACAGCGTTTCTGTTGGCTTTCTTCGGGGCTTTCCGGATTGGCGAGTTGGTGAGTGCCAGTCGGGTAGCGGCCGGGGGCCTACAGTTCTCCGGGGTTCGGCTGCGAGGGGGGAAATTGGTGGTTCACCTGGCCGAATCTAAGACAGATTCACGGGGGGTGGGCCGTGATGTCACACTTCAGGCCCTGCCGGGCTCTGTTCTGTGCCTGGTAGCCTCGGTGGCAGAGTATTTGGTCCGGAGGCCGAAGGTTGGTGCACGCAGACGGGTCTTCCCTCTCCCGATTTCAATTTATTAAGGTTTTTCGGTGGGGCCTGGGAAAAATGGGGTTACGGGTGGATAGCTTTGGTACACATTCCTTTCGCATCGGGGCGGCCACGGAAGCCGCAAGGTTGGGTCTGCGGGATGACATAGTTAAACGAATTGGAAGTCAGTACGGTTCCGGTCGTACGTGCGGTTGGGATTGTTAGAATGATATGTCGGGCCTTTTTCGGGGGTTCCCAGAGGGCAATAGGGGGGTGTTGTTACAATCTGTGTTTTCTCTCTTCACCAGGCTATGTTGCATGGATCGTGGGCCATTCCTTTGTTTTCTGGGCCGAAAGGAGAGCCGCAGCTCGAGCTCAGGGCCAGCAGCTGGGCTTTTCAAGGGACCAGTTGGTGGTGCAATGGTTCGGGTATAGGGGTTTTTGCTGGGGGGAAGTTTGCCGGGAAGTGTTCCGGATGGTGGCAGGCGGGCGGGGGCCAGACCTGCTGGTGCTACATGCGGGGGGCAATGACT